TGTTATACGTTTTTATAATATCTTTTCAAATACCTTAACAATATTGGAGATTAATGAAATTGATCAATAATTAGAAGGTTTCAACTTATCGCCATTTTTATATTGTGGTAAAACTTCGGATAATTTTAGGGATTTCGGAAATGTACCGCTTTGAACTGACCTAAAAGAATAAGTAACACAGGACAGGTGCAATCTCTTTACCTCTTTTAGATTTTTACAACGAATTCCATCCCATCCTGGAGATATATAATTTTTCAAGAGCATAATAGTTTTGATTATTTCAGTATTATTTGTTTCAGATATATGTATATATACAGGGTGGACCGGATTTAATTTTCATATACAGAGATCTCGTAAACCGCAAGATATACATTGTCGGTTAAATGGGAAAAAAGTTTCGTATTTTGACGGATAATATAATGGTCCGTAGAAGTTCCAGATTTTCTGACTGGTTCCGGAGATATTCGATAAAATCCGAAAAACCTCATTTTCGTTTTTTAAGTCGTGCGATGTTATTATAAAAGATACAAAAAAAATTATACAAAGTTTTGGTTATAAATCAAGTTCTCTATAATCTGCCATGTCAAAATTTTTATTACGACGTTACGTATTTGCAGGGCCACCTTCAACTTATTTTTTTAAATACAGACCTGGATTTTTAACTGTTATGTTTTATAGCTTTTGTATAGCTTAATACAACGATATGTTACACTTTACCATTTTACTACGTTTCGTCTATGAAAATATCATCAGCTATGTAGCTTCTATGATACCGTTTCTTACTTGATTAAAACAAGATAGCTAATTAAATAATAATTATAAAACAAAAAATGCTTAAAATGTAAAATTTTAAATAATATTTGAAACATAATACAAGAATTATTTAATTACAAAATGGGTTACAATTTTTTATCAAACATGATTAATTACAACCAGCAAACAAGACTAATGAAGAACGAAATATGGTTGTACACATTCTATAAATAATAAAGCAAATAACAAAAACAAAATTCAAAAACAAAAACAGTCACAATAGTTGCTCAAAATGTAATCCATTCTGTTGGATGTAGAGTGCAATTCTCCTAGACATTTGGGATGTAGTTTTATCAACCATTTCTGATGTAATTTTTTCAAATGCATCTACTATTCGTTGACGAAGTTCTTGTAGATTATTTGGCATATTTTGTCGTAGATTTGGTTCTATACGAAGCCCCATACAAAATAATCCATGGGGTTAAGACACGGAGATCGAGGAGGCCATCTTATTGGTTCATTGGTACCAATCCAATTACCTCTAAAATATTGATCGAGATACTCTGCAACCCTCCTAGCATTGTGTGCACCACAGCCGTCTTGCATAAAGCATTGAAGATTTTGTCTTGTTTGTAATGGCATCTCATCGAGTACTTCCTCCAATAAATGTAGGTATCGGAACTGATTTAAATCACCATCCAAAAAAAATCGGCCCAATAATCTGATTATTGATTAGTCCACACCACACATTTTGGGTAAAGCGGAACTGTGGTCTAACTTCTCTGATTAAATGGGGATTAGAAGTAGCATACATATGCTTGTTCCTGGGATTAAATATTCCACTATTAGTTAAGGAGCATTCATCCGTCCATAATATCTTTTTGTTGAACGAACGGTCATTGCGCAGTATTCTACTATACCAATGACAAAACATTAGTCTTCTGTCAGAGTTTCCAGCGTGTAATTTCTGGACTTTTTGAAATTTATACCCGTGGTATTTATGTTTCTTTAAAATTTTCTCAACCATGGAGGTTCCTACTACACATTCTTTAGCTATTCGCCTAGTAGAATTTTCAGGGTTAATATGTATTTGGGCAAGAACATTAATTTCATTATCAGTATGTCGAACCTGATATCTAGTTCTCCTTTTTTTCACACTGCTATGCTCAGCCATATTTTTTAAAATATAAGAAAACATCCTCTTAGATGGTTGTTGTCTATCAGGATATAAATCTAAATAAGTTTGAGCTGACCGGGTTTCATTCCTATAGCATCTTAGGTACACATCATTCTCTTCTTCAGTATAAGGAACCATAATATTTATTTAATTTTAAATTATTTAAAGCTGAAGCTAAAAAAGTACTGTAATATTAGATGTTACAGATTATAACAGAAATATTGGTGACAAGTTACAACTGACATGCATGGCAAACATGATTTTGTTTAGATCTTATGTATGCAAAAATGAAAATATTAAAGATACAAAAAATACGGTGTGAGAAACCTAAGCGAAAGATTTTACAGAACATCAGGTGATAGGAATTTATAGATTGCTTGACCGTTTTGTTTTTAATTTTATGTTTTTGTTATTAGCTTTATTATTTGTAGAATATGTACAACCATAATTCGTTCTTCATTAGTCTTGTTTGCTGGTTGTACTTAATCATGTTTGAAAATTGTAACCCATTTTGTAATTAAATCATTCTTGTATTATGTTTCAAATAATATTTATAATTTCACATTTTAAGAATTTATTGGTTTCTAATTATTATTTAATTAGCTATCTTGTTTTAATCAAGTAAGAAACGATGTCATCAGAAGCTACATAGCTGATGATATTTTCATAGACGAAACGTAGTAAAATGTTAAAGTGTAACATATCGTTGTATTTAGCTATACAAAATCTATAAAAAAATACAGTTAAAAATCCAGGTCCGTATTTAAAAAAATAGGTTGAAGGTAACCCTGGAAATACGAACGTCGTAATAAAAATTTTGACATGGCAGATTATAGGGAACTTCATTTATAACAAAAACATCGATTAATTCTTTTTTGTATCTTTTATAAAAACGCACAACTTAAAGAACGAAAATAAGGTTTTTCGGATTTTATCGAATATCTCCGGAACCACTCAGAAAATCTAAAACTTCTATGGACCATTGTTTTATCCGTCAAAACACGAAACTTTTTCCCCATTTAACCGACAATGTATATCTTACGGTTTACGAGATCTCTGTATACGCAAATTAAATCCGGTCCACCCTGTATATCTGTTTTAGCTATTGTTTGTTCCCTAACGGCATTGATGACTCGTTTTTTACTTTCATCGGTTATTTTCTTTCCAACATCTGTAAAATACTTACAAAAGATATTAGCTATTTCCACTGGGTTTTGACTCACTATTTTATTGGGTGTTTCAATTTCCATGATAGGCTTCTTTTGGTTTTGTGGATTGGATATTTCTTTGACACACTCCCATAGTTTTTTATTAATATTTTTGTTTTTTGTTTTTGGGGGGTACTTTATTGGTGGTCATTTTTATATTTTATGGAATATACTCGTTATTTACGTTTGGAGAAGAAAATTCTTCAAATAAAAGTTACTTACAATATTATTATCTATAATTTTTATCTATATAAAATTTTCCGTAAAATGGTCCGTATTCGACAAATTTGACAAAATGTCAAAAAGTTAATTTTTTATAAAAATTGTTTAAATAAAAGTTGTTTGTAATATAATTTTCTATAATTTTTATTTTATACAAAATTTCTCTATTTGACCGTATTTGAGAAAATGTGTAAATTTTGAATTTTGAAGAAAACTCAAAAACGGATAAAGGAAAAAACATTAAGTTTTATTTTGGCCTGAGATGAATTGATTAGATTTTGGAAGAAGCCGGACCATTTGGGGGGGTACTTCATGGGAGGCCGTTTTTATATTTTATGGAATATATCTGTTATTTACGTTTAATTACGTTTAAAGAAGATGTGCTAATTTTGCATTAGAGGAAATGGTCATCAATTAGAAAATCACTTTTAAATATTCTTTTTTTAATAACGTTTTTTTTTGTGTTTGCTATATTGTTACTTTATACTAGAAAACTGTTATACAAACTTACTGTTATAAAAAAAACTCTATTGGTATTTTTTTAATAAAAAGATACTTATATGCAAGATATTCAATTCTTCGTTAGTAAGTAATATGTAACTTTCACTTATTTGTTATTGTTACCCATAGCCTACTATTAAATTATGCATTTAATTTTAGAAAATTGTCATATATTTGCTTGTTTCTGAGAAAAAGTGTATACTATCATATATATTAGAGAAGGTAAAAAAAATTATAGTCTATAAAAATACAGGGTGTTCCATTAAAAAAAAAACATAAGTTTTCTTTATAACTCAAAAACAGTAAATATAAAACAAAAAATTATTTACAGCACTGTATTCTACGGAAAATTTCTATAAGAATCTTATTTAACTTTTCCGATAAGTTAAAGGGTAACGAAGATACGAGGGGTCCTCAAAATGCAACATTTTCAAAAATGCCCTGTATCTTAAAACTAAAATGTCTATAAAAAGTCTGTTAATGACATCTTCAGTTTTACGAAAAAATAGCACAGTGTCGCAAAAACCGCAACCCTCTATCTTTAAAAATAACGTTAATATTTCGGAAAATTACCCAAAATGAGAACAGGCTTACAACTTGAAAGTAAAGAGGAAAAAGAAAAAACTAAATCAAATAAATTCCAATAAATTACAAAGAATAATATACAAAACAAAAAATCCCTACACCAACAAACCATATTCTGTGAAGTAAAATTAGTAAACCAAAAATTACAACTGCTCATTTAAGTATAGGACACTAATATTGCCTGAAGTACCTTCACATATTTTAAATAGTAGAAGTATCATTTAGAAATGTAACCAAAGCTTGTCAAATTTTATTTTTTGTCTGTTATCTAGATTTATTTAAGACTGTGGGTCATGTGACCTCCTCCACCTCGACCTTTTTAAATCTTTTGTGGGTGTTATCTAACTAAATCATATCAAATTAATCTTTTATTTGATTGTATTAAACATATAAAAACTACCTTTTATCTCCAAATGTGCTGTGTGTTAACAGTTTATACCTAATTACTTATTAAGGAAACTAAGGGACTGATAGTAGCCAGTAAATAAGACAGTACTTGTATTTTATAACTCTCTCAACAATTCTTAAAAATACAACTTCTACAGTAAACTTACCTGCAACTGTAAAATACCCGATGCTTGGTAGATAAGAGATGAATACTTGTATCGTCCTTGGACCAATTATCGAAGATTTGGGCTTTGAAGACGATATTTTAACACCACAACATTCTGCAGGTGTCTTGGATGCATCATGTATTTCAGATATTACAGAACTATCTGGAGCAATGGTACTGGCTTTAGCTGACTTAATTATTAACCTGAACTTGTCCATTTGTCGTAACCTCTTGAATAATTATTATAAAACTATTTAGTTGTTCAATATGAAAGAGTTTCTCTAAAAACGTCAATCATAAGCATTAATTATTGAAGTTTATGAATTTACTAAAAAGTACAAAGCCAATATGATTTTTTATTTAAATCGAAAAGTATCTAAACTCACCAATGTTGGTGGGTGCAACAAAAATTTATTTGTAATGAGTTCATGTTGTTTTAATTTTAATCCAATAATTATTTTGTGACGTTAATTGATGACAGTTATCCATTTGGAACAATATTTTTGGCCAAAATTGACTAGTAGAACAAAATCGCTATATAGCCGTTTAATCGGTTTATAGATTTTGATGGTTATGAGCAGATATAAGGGAGATAATGATAGGAAACGCCCATAAGAAGCCAATGCCTAACAACGACCAGCTTTATCGCAGTTAACATCTGACCCACTATGTGGCGCTTTCATCGATATCAAACAACGCAGCGGGAAATTTCAAAACCTGATAATAAAGGTTGCGTAAATCCCATTAAACTGATCTGGTCATAATTAAAATGTTATGTTTTTGATGGCAGTTTCAGATGTAAATGGAAAACATTGGAGATACATCATGTTAAATAGGTGGAAAGTAGACATAGCAATGGAAAACTTAATAGGGCCTATAATAATAAAAAACCTCAGAAAAGACAATGACAATGATACCAGTAGTTATAGTGAAGACAGTGACTTTTAAAGACATTTTTAAACTTTTGTTTCTTTTAATCTTTGTTTTTAGGTACTGAAGTGGTACTTTTAATGCCAACAGATTTAAAACAAATTTAATCGCATTAACAACATATAATCTTTCTTGTTATTTATTGGTTAAATCTAATCCGTTCAATGTTAAAGTGAAACAATTTTATCAGAAACATAAGGTTTATTTTTATTTTTTGTATATAATATATTTTCATTCAAAATATAATCTACAAACTGCGTATATATGCCATCCCATTACAAAAAAAAAAAAAAAAAACTGCGTATAAACCATTTTATATACCGTGACTTTATTTATGTTATAGAATGGAATGTGACGTTCAATCCCCACTATTACTGCACTCCTCTTTTTTCAGACTATATTTATCTTTATTAAAAATTTTAAATATTAAAAAGGTACCGTAAAGGGGGGTTACTTTGCACCAATGCTGTTTCTGTCAACCACGCAATCTATTTTATTTTGTTGCTCCGGCAACCCTGCTACCGATATTTAGATACTTCAATACGTCATACTAACCGATATGACATCGTGTAATAGCATCGGTCTTTTGTCATTTTCCCCGCCAATTATAATCTTAAAATTTTGACGTTTTAGAGCTGTGCAAAATCTTATTGATACCAAGTCGCCAATTGATAAATGCTGGTAAGTACATAATTAATCGCATATATATCTATAATCTTAATAAATGTCCCCATTTAAATAAAGTTTCTTTATTAAAAAATGAGATTACGAGATAGTTTGTTTACATCTGCATTTTTCCGTCAAAACTGGGGATACTTTGCACCAGTTATATGGTGCAAAGTATATGTAATGAATAAACCTTTGCTAATAAGGTTTAATAAAACTAAAAACGATCCATGACATTTACAAAATAAATTATGACATCAATCAAACAATTAAACAAATATACAAGGTAATAAAATATCACTACATTCTTCCCACGTTAATCTGTTATGTAGTCTTCTAAATATTTAGGTGCTCGTCTGGAACGAATAGGACGGTTTTGCGCACTACGTTCTTCCGTTTTGGAACAGGTCTCTTGGGAGAACGAGGGTACTTCATTATTGTTTTCTAAAGTTTCGAATTTTTCAGTTTCCTCCGGTGATTCAACTATGGTGGGTTCGTTAGTATCATCGTTGGAAGCCATCTTTTCAGTTTCATTAGTTAAATTTTGTTCCAAAGTTTTATGAGCTGTAGGGGCTAAATGTCTAAGTGAAACTGTACTTTCTCTTCCGTCTGGGAACTTGATTTGTGCGTATTCAGGATTAGCTTCTATTAATTGTACCTCTTCCACCAGTGGATCACATTTACTTTGGCGTCTGAAATTTTTGAGTAGGACAGGTCCTGGAGAAGATAGCCAAGTAGGAATAGTAGAGCCATTAGCTGATCGTCTAGGGTGGATAAACATTCGCTCATGTGGAGTACAATTGATTGATGTACATAATAAGGAACGCACGGAGTGTAGGGAATCATCTAAAACCATCTCCCAGTGCGAAACTGCTAATTTCTTTGTTTTTAGGGCCAGTTGGACTGTCTTCCATATTATTCCATTATATCTTTCGACTTGGCCGTTCCCTTGAGGATTATAGGGACTTGTACGACTGGTAGCTATTCCACGAGAATGCAAATATTCTTTCAGTTCATTAGACATGAACGATGCCCTTTGGTCGGAATGAATATAGGAAGCTAAACCGAAAATCGAAAAGAGATTTGCCAAACACTTAATAACAGTAGAGGAAGTCATATCCGAGCAAGGATAAGCAAAAGGAAATCTGGAATATTCATCGACAATGGTTAGGAGATATTTGTTTCTGCTGATACTTGGAAGCGGGCCTTTGAAATCAATATTTAACCTTTCAAAAGGCGAGGTAGCCTTAATTAATTTTCCACATTGTTTAAAAAATTTTGGTTTTAGCTCGGAACAAATTGGACAAGAAGAGATGGTTCTTCGAACGTCTTCTACAGAAAATGGCAAATTTTTTGAACGTATCCAGTGAGCAAACCTAGTGACTCCTGGATGGCACAGTGCCTCATGAAGATTGAAAAGGTTGTTTTGATGAATATTATTACCAATATAACCACAAACTCTACTAAACGTATCCGGTACCACATTTTCAGGTCCCCGGCGATAAATAATATCGAAACTGTAGCATGCTAGCTCTAAACGCCACCGCAAAATTTTTTCATTTTTTATTTTGCTACTGTGTTTACTATTGAACATAAAGGAAACTGATTTTTGATCCGTATAAAGCTTAAAGTGTTGACCAATGAGAAAATGTCGCCACTTTCTAAGAGATTCTACAATAGCATAAGCCTCTTTTTCGACCGCAGAATGATGTCGCTCACTTTTTGATAAGGTTCTTGAAAAGAATGCCACTGGTCTTCCTAGTTGGCTTAAAGCAGCTGCGATAGAGTGTTCAGACGCATCTGTTTCAACCGTAAATGGAACACCATCCTGTACAGAGGTAACAACCGAATTGGCAATTTCAAGCTTAAGATTTTCAAAATCAGCTGCTGCTTCCAAACTTAAGGGAAACGATGTAGAGCTGACAAGTCTATGAATTTTTTCTGAAAAACGCGGTATCCACTTTGAGTAGTGAGAAAACATGCCCACAGTACGTCTCAATGAAGCAGTATCCCTTGGGATAGGAAGATTGAATAAAGGCTCCAACCTAGTTGGATCGGGCTTCAGTGTATTGTTTTCAATTAGGTAACCTAGTAAGTTGATTGAACGTTTACTGAATGAACTCTTATCATGATTTATAGTAAGGTTATACTTAGAAATAATATCAAGTAACATTTTTAGATTTTTATCGTGATCATCCTGATTTTTCCCACACACAGTTATATCGTCTAAATAACTGTAAACGCCATTAAGTTTTTCTTTAGTAATTATTTGGTCTAAGACACGTTGAAAACACGCAACCCCATTCGTTACTCCGAAAGGTATTCTACAAAATTGGTAGAGGCGACCTTGAGCTTCAAAACCTGTGAATATTTTCTCATTCTCTAGTATTGGTATTTGGTGATAGGCGCTCTGCAAATCAATAGTACTAAAGAAATTGAATTTAGACACTTCACCGACAATTTTATCAATATTGGGCAAAGGATATGCGTCTAAATATGTAAAACGATTTATAGTCTGAGAGTAGTCTATAACCATTCTCTTTTTATGGTTCTCATTTCTGGTAACCAGAACTTGGGCCCGCCAAGGAGATCGACTTTCTTCTATTACTCCTTCCGAAAGTAATTTTCCTATTTCAAGGTTTATGAATTTGGCGTCATCTTGTGTGTGTCTACGCGATTTCGTAGTTATTGGCTTACAGTTTGGTGCCAAATTTGAAAACAGAGCAGGGGAGACAATAGAGGCAGCGGCTAAGTTACAAATTTTATTAGTAGAGAGTGTAGTAGGGGGCCCACCTATATGTAAAGGAGTTTTATAGCCATTGAAATGAAACTCAATTGAAGAATGTTGTTCTAAAACATTTAGGCCAATAATGACATCCGCACATAACTCTGACAGAACAGAGGCATTCAAGTGGTAATAATAGAAACCTTGGATATAAACATCAATAAAACAGTGCCCTTCTACATTAGTATTTAATGAAGTTTTGGCCATTGATATTTGGCTAGAGCTAGGATATACTTTGAGATTAAGGCCAGCAAGAAAATTTGCATTAATATAAGTGTCGGAGCTACCAGTATCGATTAAGGCTTGTGCCTCAACATTATTAACTTTTATTGATATAGTTGTTTTAGAAAGGCATTTGGGGACGGCTAATATAACTTTAGTAATGGTTGCAGTTGTGGGTCTGTTCAGTCGTAACTTATTTTGACAAACCTTTGCGAAATGTCCATGCTTCTTGCATTCCTTACAGACTACGTCTCTGGCAGGACAAACGGAACGTGGATGTTTCTTGTTACCACAAAAATAGCATTTGGGCCAATTTAAAGCAGCATTTAATATTTGAGGTTCTTGCTCAGTGTTGTCCTCATTAGGTGAAGGGACGGCATTGAGGAAAGTAGGTTGAGCGTATGCTTCGGCATGTTTCTTGGCAGATTCTAAGGCGCTGGCTTGAGTTATGGCTTCTTCTAAACTTAAAGTGCTATTTTCTAAGAGCCGTTGTCGAAATTCTTGGCAGTTTAATCCGCTTATGAATGAATCACGTATATAGTCATCTCTATTCTTATCAGCATCAGAACCAAAACTGCATTACTTACTTAACTGCTTAAGACTTTGTACATATTGGTTTACAGATTCTCCTGTTAGTTGTTTGCGAGTCAAAAGTTGATATCTTGCAAAAACTTCATTTTTGGGTTTTATATAAATATTGTGAAGCGTTTTTATTACTTCATCATAACTTTCGCAATCTCTGATAAATTTATAGATGGAATGACTTACATAGTTGATGAGTAATTTCTTTTTATCTGAATCAGTAGCCTTTTCAATAGATGATAGAAAATTTTCAAAAGTAGCTAGCCAGTTGGTCCATTCCTGATCGGATTCAGGCGAACTG